TTCCACATGCAAGCCTCCCGTCCTTGTCTCTTTTTTATCAGCTACAGCAGAGCGAAGCAACAGTGCAGAACACGCGCGAGAAGAAGAGGAGGAAAAAGAAGAAGGGAGGAAGGAAGAGGAAGAGCGAAAGAACCGTCACCACGTCACAGCTGTTGGTTGTCTTCTTTATTTTTTCTTTCGTTAGATTCGAGGTGAGTGTAACGCCTTGAAATATACTCTAGGATTTAATAATAAATTTCTAATAAATTATAATTCATATCTTGATTTAAATTAAAAAAACAAAAATGACAGTGTTAAAAATAAGTGATTTTCAAAGGTACATTTGAATGGACAAATCTGTACTCGAATTGAAGGTCTCAATGAGACCAGTTCAACCATATACCAAGATATGAAACCCAACGAATTAACTACTTCAAAAACAAAAAGATAAAATACAAGTATGTCGTAGAGACAATATTATATATGCATTTTTGGTGTGAACTGTAACTTTAGAATTATGTATAAAAAGTTATGAGTAAAATAAACGTTACAGTTCATGGCACTGTGTTTGCACGCTACCATTTTGCTGTGTTGTTGTTGATCTTTTTGTGCTCTTCGATTTCTGCTAACCAATTGAGCCTTGCGTCGGGGTAGGCTGCCACACCATAGGAAAGAACTTCTAATTGGAGTGTAAATTATGATATTATAAATTGACCACATGGTGGTCAATTTGGTTGCAATTCGTCCCTCTTGCATTTGTGTCTTAGGAGTATATTTTGACTGTAAATTAGTCCTAAGTTTACCAACTTAATAAAATAGGCATCAACTAGTAATTCAATTTCATAAATCTTATCAAAGGAAATTTATAATAATATGTGCCAAGTAAAGGATTTGTCAAAGTACAAAACTTAGGGTGATAATTATAAGATGAACTGAAATTTTGAAATAGTCGCCTAGTAAATCTAGGTGGACCTGAATTGATCTGAATATTGAAATCACCTATAGGACTGGGAATTTGGAATTTAAGGTCATGCAAGTATCAGTGTACACCACTTGATGGTCTCTAGGGTTAAAGCGTACGTACGAGAGGCTGCGACCTGCCTCGACACCTCAGTGGTAGGGGCTCCAACCTACCCAATTAGAGTTCTTCCATTTGGTTATAGATGTAGCCTCTTGGCACCTTCAGGAGTGTTAATGGGTAGTGTGTCTAGTTAGACTTTAACCAAATATGTTAAGTATGGTAAGAATATGCGAGGATCTGAAACGAACAAATGATTGATCATACTGTTTAATTGTAATTGTTGATTCTTCGGATACTATATGACTATATATTAATGAATGTTAGTTTATGATTTTGTTCTAGCATTAGATACTTTCACGCTCAATACCATATGCAAGTAGGGATCAAGAATTGGATAAGTAGCCTAGAGAATAGTGATGGAGTGCGGCATGGATGGATGAAGATTTTGATAGATATTTTGTTTACTTATTATTCAAGTATTAAATTATCTTGGAAGTTGTTTCTTAAGGCTTCCTAAATGTTGAATTTATTTTTCTTTGAATTTGACCGAACAAATTTTTGGTACGTAGTAAAGGGTAGCAATTCTTGATCGTCAGTTTGTCCGTCTTAACAGGGATTCGAGTTATTTGACCGTAAGTTAATCTTAGAGAATACAATGGATCCTCTAAGCTAATCAAATAAGTCATAGATACGAAGTAAGGATAACGATTTTAATTTGACAGTAGTTGATATAGAATCTCATCGATCCATCTTCAATTACGTATTCATTCGAGATGAATTCGGTCAATTTAGAAATCAGCTTTTCTTTCACCTCTATAAGGTTACCATTATCGATCTTCAGTTGAGAAAATCTTCGTCGAGAGTTGTTAACAAAAACACCGTTTAGTCAGCCAATTCATACTAAGGATAACATCAATTTCCTTGTATGGTATTTCAACGAGGTTTTGCAAGGAATTATTGCTTAACGAACGATTTCAATTCACAAGATGTAATCGCATACTGTGTCGACGTCAGAATGGGATACTTTAGATAATATCGTTTATTGATTCTAAATGTTTGTGTTTGAATCAGCGATCAGATCGTGTTGAGTACACATGAGGATCTTCAACACCGGATTCGCAGACATTGTTCGTAAAATCAACATTAATTGTTTCTTCAGAGTCGTCTCTCTTTCGTGCGACCTTTCAATGCAGATCAGTTTCGTTATTTGCGGTGCGATGCGTACGTTGATAACGTATCAGAGGGTTATACATATTTCATTTATTCTTTTCATCACTTGTTGAGTACAAAAATTAGAGTCTATGCTCGATACGATTTCATTACTAACAATTATTATCTAATAAGAATTTAATAGACTTGGAGTAGAGGGATGCGAGAGTCGTGGATGTGACCAACATATTTTTTTTACCCGAAATATATATATATATATATATATATATATATATATATATATATATATATATATATATATATATATATATATATATATATATATATATAGTGGAGCGGATAAAATGTGGTTGCGTTATGTGTCATGCAACATAAGCTAGGCTTTAAAGATGTCATTTTTTCATTAGTCCACTTGGATAGCACATGGCTACTTCTTAATTATTAATGTTAAATGCAAATTATTGTAAAGACATTTAAACATTGAAAGGTCATGTTCACAAAAATAAAAAAATAGTGGGTACACAATTTTATTTCTTTTTACTTTCTGAATATAATGTTTTTAAAATATATATTATTATATATAATTTACTTTTATATTATTAAAAATATTTATAAGATATATGCGATGGAAAATACAGAGTATTTTTAATTTGAGGGAAGTTTAGAATAATTGTTTTTTATTTCAATATATGTATGTTATCATTTTAAAATGCCAAGTAGGGATTAAATAGTGTATGATTGATTTTAAAATTATTTATTTAAGTCAACATGTTTATGATTTTATTCAATTCACAAATGCATTTAGTTTTGTATATTTATCTCATTATATTTTGGATATATTGATAACTCATTTTTTTGTGTAACTATTAATTCTATTTTGTGACTATTTCAAGATTAGTAAATTTCGTGTACAAAAATAGTTTGAAATTTGTAAAAGAGTAATTTTTCATAGTCTAACAAAAAAATTATATTTAAAAATTATCAATAAAAATATATATTTGGGTGGGTTAAATTGTATAAAAACATAATGGATATAGATGAGGTTGAAATGAGTTCAACCATTTAGTTGAGAATATTAACAGATATCATAAATAAGAAGTCTAGAGGGACACGTTAAGTAGGTGAAAAAAGAATTTTTTTTCATGTGTTCACACGTGTATAAAATATACTTACATGTTTTATATATTGATAGTAGCATAGCGAGTTAGCGACTTTAATACATATTCAAATTTATTTTTAATTTCACATTTTTTTAAAAATGAAATATAAAATTTATATATATATATATTTTACGTAAGAATATATGAGTCCGTGTGAAGCACAAATTTATTTTCAATTTCATATTCTTCTAAAAATGAAATATAAAATTCATTGATATATTTTCCGTGATAGGTTCTGGGAGTATCACGAACCGTCATGGACTGCGTCCACCCCTATGAAGCACAAATTAATTTTAGATTTCATATTTTTTTAAAAATGACATACAAAATTTATAGATATATTTTACGTAAGAATATTATGGTTTGTCTCAAATCATATAGGGATTCCTTGATGGTTGGGTTAGAATAATTGCAAGATTGGGTACAAGTCTTATTCTAGGAGAAATAATTTATCTGTTTGAATTTCGGGTTATTTTCCGAACGGAGTTCGATTTTGAAACCGATCACATTTTTGAACTTGGAAAAATAAATGGAACTCAAAGATGCAATCAAAAAATTTTTCCTAATTTTTTTATTTTTTCGGCCGTCGGGGCCCACATGGTCAAACATGCAATTTACGTAGTTAATTCTTCTAGAGCGGTTTTCGTGGCGCAGCCACTAACACTACAACCACTTACCCCTATCTATTGTTAATTAAATTATAAATTAAAATTTCCTCAAAATAATTGATTTGAAGTTTCAAAATTCAAATCTTGTCATTCATTTTAAAATCAAGGTCAAGGGTATGGTGGAGAAAATCAAATTTTTAAGGCTTGCGTCATTGCATGGAATGGCGCCCGGAAGGGAAGACGAAGATACCGAATACTCCCTCCGTCCCACTGTCTTTGTCCATTTACCTTATAGCACACCATCCAATGCACTTCTTTAATACATTTTATCTTGTACTTTGTATATTAAAAAATTATAAAAATTATATATTAATAATCTATATGTTAAGATGAATCAAACAAGATCACACATGACTATTTTTAGGCTTACACATTGAGAAAATTTGATGAGTCAACGTGCTTAACAGTTCCAAAAGTTAAAACCAGACAAAGACAATGGGAAGGAGGTAGTATATTTTTCCCAATATTTCCCGTTCGCCATGGGCTCAGAGCATTTGCAGTGGCGTGGAGACTAGCCTCCACGCACTGCCACATCATCACCAAATTTGTTTCTCCACGCGTGTCAATTGCTTTTTGACTCTTTCCGCAAGTCATTGCCGAGGCATGGAATATGTTTGCGAGTCCTTTTTCATGTTTTGTTTGCTGAGTTCTTTTCATTATTTCTAATTTTGTTTGCCTGGTCTTTTTCAAGTTTTCTAATTTATTTTGTTTAATTTGTATTATGATTTTTAAATGTGTTAATTTGATTATCCAATATGAAATATTTTTATATTTACTTTCAATTTCTATTTTTATATAAAAAAAGCTTTTTCTATAATGGTAATAGAAATACCGAGTATTTGTATATTAAAAGAAATGATAAAAATAATTTTTATTAGTTAATATACAATAACAAAAAATAAAAAAATTTAAAAAGTAATGACTTGCCATTGCTACTCTCTAAATCTTTCTTCTCCAAACACTTCAATTTCTATCTCTAAATCTTACCTTTTCATTATTCAGGAATTTGACTGGGACGCAGCTGTGAGAGAGATCGATGTGGCTTGTGAGGCCAATGGCGTCGCCCTTCCCGTCAATGGGACATTCGCTTCGTCTTCTGATGGTGTTGCGACTTCGACTTCCATCCCCAATAGGGAAACGCTCAAAACCCCTAATGGTGGCGGCCTTGCGTCTGGGAAGCAGTCGACTCTTGATATGTTTATGGGATTTCCGCCTAAGGCTAAGAATGCCGAAACCGAACCCCACAATCCAAACGGCGTTGGAGTCAGAAAAGAGGAGTTTGGTAATGAGGGGGATGACAGGGTTTGCTTCGTTCAACTTGATTTGGAGGCAGCCAAAACTTGGATTTATCCAGGTTCTTTGCTCTTTTTCTTAGTCCGTTTTCTCTTCTTTAATTATGCTGTCGAATTGTGGCTCATAATCTTGAGTTACAACAAAAACCTCAAGATGGCCACTGCCCTCCACGGTCTGCTCAGTCCCATATCCACATGGATGTTGTATAAGTACTTACGATGATATACATGTGACCCCCTTCGGACTGATGTACATTTCTACTCACTTTGTTTCATCATTATATCGACCACAACATTTGGATTGCACCATTAGAGAACAAGAGTTATTTCTTTTTTTATAACCAATAACTGTACTATTTCTTATGTGCTTATAAAATAAAATTTTATTCATAATTCATTTTATTGCAGCAAATCTTCCCCGTTGGGATTATCAATTCGAAATCACGAGGACTGCACTATATTCCAATACCTTAGTGGCATTACCTACTGGGCTTGGAAAAACATTCATTGCTGCCGTTGTAATGTATAATTATTTTAGGTGGTTTCCAGAAGGTACTGCATCACTTTTTAGCATTTTTTGTCATTGCATGTGATTAAGTGTTCTTGATGGTATTTTTTTTCTTTCTGGAAAATGGCATAAAGAAATAAGTTCAAGTGAGCTGCTTGGAACTATAGCAATATGCTTATGGCAAACCTATCTAAACACTGCAAAAGTTGAATATAGATAAGATCTCATTACTCTCAGTAAGGTCCAACTAAGCTGAAAATAATGTTGTCTTGATAAGGTCTTAATTTCTTGTAATGAATTATATACATATTTACTGAAGTAGAGTTATTTTTTGGAGCGAATGTTCCTTATTTTGTCAATATAGATGAGAACTGTTTATGCAGGAAGTTATGGGCATCACATACAAATTCAGAGTTTCAAACATTTGCATTGCTTTGGATTCAAACCTACATGTACCTTACACAATGACTTCATTAGTTTGCACGAATTGTGAATGGCTTTTTTTTTTTTTTGAAATTTATGTTTTTATTCTAGCAGTTTCTATCCAAAAGGAACAACTGTAACATCATAACCATCTTTAACCTCTTAGTTGTGTGCTTTTGACTTTGTTGGTTGAGGAAAAAGCTTAAGCATACCAAAAATATATTTATTTTGTATATGTGACATCATGGCAGCTTTTTATCAAAAACGTCGAGGAAGATTCGGGGATCAAAACGTTGTCTAACTTCGTACGGTATTGTAACATCTATATGGTGTCCACTCCGAAAGATCGGGAGAAAAAAACACTGACTGACATGGAAACACAAAGATCAAATATCAAACACCTGTGTTATTGTTGTTTGGATCATAAATTCTAATTATGTTGGGGCCTGGCGGTCAAGATGTGCGCAACCTTACCCGGTAAAACAAAAAGGCTGTTACTGTTAGACCCTTGATGCACAGATGCATTTAGAGCTTGTTCTCTTCAACTTATTCTGATTACTTATTCTTACTAGAATCCTATCAAACCAGATTAGACCAAATCAGATAAAAAACAGCTTTAAATATAACTACAATTAGAGATCAGATCTTAAAAGAATCAGATCAGATCTAATTAGATTATACAAAAAGAACAAGCTCTTACTAACCAAAACTTCACAAAACATATGAAGGAAGGGAAGCTAAAACATTGTTTCCTTTAGATTATTTGTGGACACAATATGTTTACATATTTACAAACTTTGAGACAGTTTTTACTAAATGGAATGCAGGAGTGTGCACTTGATCTTACTGGTCAAACAAGTCCTATTAGAAGAGCTAGCTTTTGGAAAGAAAAACGAGTTTTCTTTGTCACTCCACAAGTGCTGGAGAGGGACATCCTTTCTGGTTAATTTTACTTTCTGATTTGTTTTCCTTTTAACAATAGATTCATGATAGTATATACTTGCAATTAAATGAATCAAAATTTGTGTTAGTCTTAGAATACCCTCAATGGAAGGTATAGAGATTGTAGAATATAATAAAAAAATATAAAGAGAGAAAGGAGAGAGTAGAATCCGGAGATAGTGATTGTGGAAACACAAGTATGATGGAGAAGGAAGTTCCACAGAGAAGCTACCTATATGCTTTCTTTTGTTTTTTCAATTTTTTTCACTGTTTTCCTTATTAACATTCAATTAGGATATCTAAACCCCAATTCCCATTAGGGACTGTCTTACAGAGAGGTTTCTATGCTTCAATTTTTTAAATGCTTTTAGACTTAATGTTTGAACGATGATGCTATGTTCTTAAAGTAATACTGTATTAGCGTCTTTTGTTTATACCGTTCTCTTTAAGATGGGATGATGGATAAGGAATGACATAAGAACCTTCCTATTGGGAAGAAGTAAGACATATAACCAACAAACCAAATCCGAGGAGTCTATATGTGAATCATGGGACTACTTTGACTTAAATTTTAAACTCTAATACTTTCGAGAGTAGTGATAATAAAATCCCTTTATAGCATCTACAATATGATATTATAAACTTATACCCTCTCCATCCCAATTTATGTTCATTTTGATTGAGCATAGAGTTTAAGAAAGTGACATATGGGTGGTTGAAGTTTATGGTTAATTGTCACATAATGCTTTCTATGGTATAGGTTTCTGAACTTGTTTATTGGAAAATGAAAGTTATACCTTTATGCCTTTAAAGTTGCTTTTTTTGTAACTTGTAAAGCTGTAAACTTCTCCTCTTTTGGAAGCTTGAAAGGATGTATTAATTCCATTCAGGTATATGCATGGTGAAACATCTAGTCTGCTTGGTGATTGATGAGGCTCATCGTGCTACGGGGAATTATTCTTATTGTGTAGTGGTTCGCCAGGTTTGTGTTGACTTTCTTTTCTATACAAAACACAAACTCTCGCTATCTCTCAAGCCATGGAATAAGGCCTGCATTTGAGATGCTTGTTGAAAAGCTGTGAGAGGGGTTTGTTTTCCACACTCTTGGCTGGCATTATTTGTCATGTATATATGACTTCTGACAGTTACGTGGCCTGTCATATGGCATTTTAGATTCATTTTCTTATAAAATTTATTTGACGAATTCCTGAAGTACCTAATTTAGAATTATTACACATGTCTTAGCTAATAGATCCGAATTCATGCATTTTCAAAATTCTTTGGTTCCTTGCCTAGCTAAATGCCCCAGTGTCAGAAAAGAATTAGATGTATTAAACACACATTTATTTTCCTCTTTTCATGGTTTCGATGCATCATGTATCCCTAAAAATTCTTCAGCTTGCTGAACATATTTCTTATATTTGCAGGTCGTTTGCTCGACTAGTGAGTAGAAACGAAATTCTTTTAAAAGCAAAACTCCTGATGCAGAAAAGTTTAGATCATGGAGCTCCAAATCCAAAACTGTCAAAAATGCTTGAGATAGTGATTGATCACTTCAGTATGCATCTTGGACATTAACTTCTGTTTGCATTAACTCAAAGTTCAGTGTATTTGTTCATAGACTACTTTTATGCATTGCTTACACACAAACATTTTTTTTACCCGGAGCGGTCCACCAAAATCAGTGGGGCTATGACAGGGGAACCGTAGCCAATTTATTAAAGTGGAAAAGAGACCAATTACAAAATGAGGGCCAAGCAGAGTGCTCAACCATCAGGGACAGGCCCTGGAAGAAACATGGACTAAAAAACAAAAAAGAAAAAGGGGAAGAGGGGAAAAGTAACAGCTGGGCTAAACACCACCCAAGTTCTCTGCCTTAGCTTTTACAGCGCCATTCCAACCACCAAATTGGAACTATCTTCACAATTAGAGAAGGAGATCAACCAACTCTAGTTCTGTCAGCTATATCTTCTCCATATTCTACCCTAGAACCCAAAGCTTTGTTCCAGCAGAGGATGATCCCGCTTTCAGCAATATCAGAGCAGTACATCATCCAGGAAGAGTTTTTATTTCTCCAGCTCCACTTATAAATGAGTTTGTCAATATCCATTTGGAGATTGAGAGTATTAAAGTGACCCCCCTCAAACTTGAGTCTGTTGAACTCTTCCATATAGCCCAGGTAATAAAGAATGGGATGCAAGCCCTTAGAATAACTTTAACATTTTTTATGGAAGAGGAAATCCACCATTCAACAAGATGCTGGCATAGGGTAAGGCCCCCTCTCAGCCCTGGACCATCAGTAATATTAGCATAATGATCCCATATACGAGATATGCAAGGGCATTAAAGCTTAGTGTGATCCAAGGATTCTTCAGCCCCATTACAAGAATTGCATTTACTAGGATAACTGAACCTAATTTTCCTGAGATTTTCTGGAAATTCAATTTTATTTTGCACCAGCTTTCACATAGGAGTTGCATTTTGCCATGAACAGTAGAGTTCCAAACATATTTAGCTGTGAAGAGCCTGTTTTCATTTTCTCTAATTGCATCATAGGCTTTACTCATTTTAAAATTCACCATCATTGTTGCAAAATGAATCTTCTTTCAGGTACTAGCCTCTTCATCAATCTTGCAGATTCTCTTCCATATGCTAGAATCATAAGCTCGTTCTCTGAGAGCGAGATCATCTCTCCCATATTTACTCCTCATGTACTTAGCCCAGAGACTATCAGATTGCTTGAATTTCCACCAGAGCTTCAAGGAGTAGGCATCTTGTACATCGTTTAGGTTTCTAATCCCTAAACCCCCTTCTTCCTTAGGAATGCTGATAGAGCTCCAACTTTTCCAGTGATGCTTGGGTTTTCCCTCTTTGTAACCCCAAATAAAGTTACTCATTTTAGATTGGAGCTGAGATGATGGACTTAGGCCGAGTAGAAATTGCAAAAATGTGAAGGGGAATTGAAGATAGAACATGCTTTGAGAGAAATGAGAATTAACCTACCTACTGGGTTAAGGGCTTTGCTATGCCAAGCGAGAGTGTACTTGTCAAAATGGTTGAGGATGGACTCACAGTCTGCCTTCTGAGGTTTTCCTTTGGTAATATTAACACCTAAGTAAATGAATGGGAGATCCCCATGTTGCATATCAAGAGCCCTGGCCATTCTGTGGATTCGGTTCATGTGGCATTTTGAGCTAGTGAATAATTTACTCCTTCTGAGGTTGACCTCCTGACCAGAGGCTGTAAGGTATTCCCATAAAATAGCTTTGAACATCAAGAGGTTTCTGGTATTCCCATTAATAAACACAAGTAGATCATCTGCATAACCAAGGTGAGAGGGTGCCAAAACAGAACCTGCATTATAGGGCTTAATGAAACTGGAATAGATAGCATGATTGATGGCTCTAGTAAATCCCTCACTACCAATAATGAACAACAAGAGGGACAAGAGGTCCCTTGTTTAACACCTTTTTCCATCTTGAAGAAACCTTCAGATTGACCATTTACCAGAATGGAAAGGTAGGTGCTTTCTAAATTGGCAAGCAACAATCTTCTGGCATGGTTGTTGAACCCCATTTTGCCAAGAACAGCCTTTAAATTTGTCCAAGAAAGCTTATCAAAAGCCTTACCCATGTCAAGCTTAGTGATCAGTGATCACATTCCCCCCCCTGCCACCTTCTTGTCCAGTAGGTTGGCCAACTCCTGAGTAAGAAGGACTTGGTCATCAATAGTCTTCCCTTAACTAAAACCAACTTGTTCCGGGGAAATGATGTTATTGATGAAAGTTCCTAGTCTTGTGACCAAGATTCTGCTATTAATTTTGCTCTTAAAGCTAGATAGAGAGGTCTGATGATGCGGAACTCACCGAACATGAATGCAAAGCTCACTAGACCCCAATGCAAAGCTCACCTCGGACGAATGAAAAGCTCATCAATCTGGACACAAATACTCATCATTTTTTTTAATATACAAAGAAAGTTGGACCACTTGGCAACCACCTGCATATGGCGGCAGCGACTGGCGGGGTGGCGGTCAGGCAGTCAAAGTCCAGTCATTGGAGGTGAACATGAGTCAATGTCAAATCAGCACCTCCTTTGATTTTTTCTTTAAAATTCAGAGTGTGAAAAACTCAAGGTGAGCTTTGCCATACACTTTGGTAAGCTTTGCACTTGGTGTGGGTGTGCTTTACAGTTGCCTTTGGTGAGCTTTGCATCATGTGACCGTAGCATGTCATTTCACTAAAACTTGTCATCCAAGTCTAACCGGAGTCAACTCCTATATATATATGTGTGTGTGTGTGTGTGTGTGCCCACCATTTGTGCACATCATGTTTCACATGTCCCATGTGTCACTACACATTCACACGCTATGTGTCACACTCTTTTCTACATTGAATGATCATTATATTTTCTATATAATGTTTCACACTATGTGTCACACTCTTTTCTAATTGAATGATCATTATATTTTCTATTATCTATAAAAACCCTACACTTTTTGAACTATTTTACCAATTTTTAATTCACCTTTGTATAATATTTTTTAAGATGCATAGTGGTTTTATTATTTAAGAAAGAGTCATATAAACTTTATTACTTTTACAAAACGCTTTCAATGTAGCAATATGATTGTGTTGTTAATACACTTTAGTGCCCTACCAATAATATTATCATTGTTTTAATGGAATTTTATAACTCCATTCTGATCACTTAAACCATAAAAATAAATTATAAGTAATTGTCTATTTTAGATTATTAAGATTTTATTTGATCATTTTCATTTATTTATAGCATAATTTTTTTTAGAATACTTATAATTGTTTGAATCTCTTAAAGTTCTATACTAGTTCTTCTAGACTTTATATCTTTTACATAAATGATTTGATAAAATCTACTTCCATTAAAATTATTGGTTTACATTGTATTTTAGTTCACCATTTTTTTTTATTATATGCAAATATCTGTTTTTTTAAGTTTTTGAATTATTTCATGTATATTTAATCTTAATGATTTAAGATACAAGTTTTTTTATAAGCAAACAATTAATTATTTGTAAAAATTTTTAATGGAGTTCTTTTTTGTTCTACTCTCAATAAAAAATTTTAATGTTGTCAATTTTAGGAAGTACTTTGTACTATTTTAATAATAACAACAATTATAATAATGATGACGATTATTACTATCAAAGTATTCTTAAGTTTTTATAAACATATTCAGAGCAATGATTTTGAATTTGACTTGATTGATCTGATTGATTAGACTTGAATTATTATGCATCCTAGCTTGATTTTTGCTCTATAATAAAAATAGCTAGTAATAAAACATATTTAATGTAAATAGATTGAAAGAAATAGAATAAAAAATAAAGTCATATTTTAAATTTAAATATATTAAAGTTTGTTTAGTATCTTTCTTCATACTTTTGCTATGTACTTCGAGAGATGGAGTTACAAAACAAGGAGATATTTTATTTATAAATGAATTTTGAAATGTCTTTTAAATAAATAAAATTATAATTTAAAACTGAAATATAATTTTATAAGAATAAGAATGTTAAAAGTATTAGACTTTATATGAGCCCATGAAATCCCACAGTTGGGGTCCAAGAGGGGTGGGTGTAGACAGGCCTTACCCCTAAGGAAAGGTTTAGAGGCTATTGCTTACACTAGTATGTATGAGTAAATTATCAAACCTTTTTTTTTAATGCTAAATTTCACTGTTTGTATGTATCTGTCTTACATGACCTGTAATGTTAATAAAAATAAAAGCATAGATCAATAGTTACAGGAGAAGCTAAGATAGCGGTCTTATTGTTGCATCACTGTAAATATTACGGCAGGAAATCAATTTCCCTTTTGGCTTTTTTGGACTTTGAGTATCAGTATTAGGGCTCTTATAAACTCACACTTTAAAAGTACTTGAGAATTGAGATATGTTTGGTACCAAAAAAATGAGATTTAACACAACATTTAAACATGCTTTATCACTCTATATGTACAAAATATGGTAGTGGCTTTCCTTTTGCATGTTTAAAAGTTGGGATTTGCTTTTGCTTGTTTTTGTGTTGTTATGAATATATTTAGCAAATAGGGAGCAGCTGACCTATGTGTGTCATCCTCATGCAGAAATGAATGATCCCAAGAACTCAAGGGTTATCATCTTCTCAAATTTTAGAGGAAGTGTTAGGTAAACTAGTTCTGCTCCTTGCTGTTTAATTTTTTATATGCTGTTCCTAGACCAAAAAACATTCAACTCTCTTTTCCTTAATGGTCTTATCTTGCTTCAGGGACATAATGAATGCATTAGAAAACATTGGACCATCTGTTAAAGCCACAGAGTTTATAGGACAAAGCTCAGGTGTTTGAATTTTACAGATTATGATTCTTCCTTACCATTTGGCATACTTAATATTTAAGAAAACATTTACTCAGTAGTTTGTTTTGATGATATGTGTATGCCCTAAATACAATTGATTTAAAGAAAACTTTAGTTTGTTTTGATGAAGTAGAAAATATTGTAGGCAGGGACTAAAACATGCTTCATTCATTGAGCATAGAATTCATGCTGGGGTTGTGGTTTTGAAGTGATTAGTTGGTGGTAATCAGAAAAAAAAAGTACATTTTTTCTTTTTAATAATTGATTTAGTAGTCATTTACTGCAAAGCTGAGAACATTTAAGTATAATGGAATGGGTTCTCATTATTATAAACCTAGGGTTTGCCTAGTAAATTTATTTAACTATTCTTCTCGACTGTTTTACAGGAAAAACATTAAAGGGCCAGTCACAAAAGGTTCAACAGGCTGTTCTAGAGGTAACTAAAGTTGTTTTCTTTGGCTTTATCTTTTTACATCTTACAGAGTTATTTTCAGGGAGTATCTTTCAGTTTTCTTTTGACTTTGGAAACAGAAATTTCGAGCTGGTGGGTACAATGTCATTGTTGCAACCTCGATTGGAGAAGAAGGCCTAGATATAATGGAAGTTGATTTAGTTATTTGTTTTGATTCTAATCTCTCCCCATTGAGAATGACTCAGCCGTACCCCTCCTGTCCTTCCTTTGTGCTTCCCGCTCAACTATAGGAAACCAGTAGATCGAACGAATAATGTTTAAAAGACGACATACACCGGATTTAAAGACAATTCGTATATTGGTACCCATCCGATTCGTAATTCGAACCATCGTTAATTCGACTTTAAATAATAAGTTTCTAATCCTCCAGTACGGAATTCGACCTATATATGATATTCCATATTTCTAAATCCTAACTTGGACTAAGACATGCAATCACAAATTAAGATATGTACTAAACTAACTAGAACAATTATAAATTAAATAGGATTTACTTTGGTTAATCCAGTGCTTTGCAACTAGACCTTTGGTAAACTCATAACCCATCTTCCTGGAGGCACATAATTCGGACAGTTTTTTTTTTTCAATACACTAACTGGTTCTTGGGTCACATCTTCCTGAGGCAAAGAGACCCACTCAACTAGTGCAACCCATAGTTATGAAAGGTGAGAGGCGGGCAAAGAGTAGATTTTCAAGGCGAAAGGCAGCACGAGAGGCGGGCGAGGGGTAGATTTTCACGGCAAAATGCGGTGCAAGAGCCAGGGGAAGGTTCTAATGACAATTCACAGGTGGGGCATTGTGATTGGGTGATGGCAGTCGGCAGGAATGCCTGAAGTGGTGGGAGAGTGATAGTTGCCACAAGGAGGGAGCAGGGCAGTTGAAAGAGGTATTCGGAACATAGATGGGGATGGTCAAGTCTATGGCTTTCTCCAATTTTTTGGCTTCACTAATCTGACATCACTGCAATATCTTCTTTCTCTTTTTCAGCCTGGCAAAAACGTTCTGTGTACTTTTCTGCCAAGTTGGTAGGTCATTCACCAACTTTTGAAATTTTTCTATATATTCCCTCTAGCTGCCTAATGTTTCATTCACCTCCTCATAAGCCCGTCCTCTAAAACGTATTTCTTCCATGTGATCTGCTTTTTTTTTTTTTTGAGATGAGACGTGAGAGTACCATCTCCACCATTTGTTCGCTTCTCCGAAAGTAGCCAAACTCCCAAACCTATTTTCTTTTTGGACCCATAACTACCCATGACCTTGAAGTAATAAGGGGCTTGTGGGTCTTCTAGTGAATTTTTTGGGAAAGCAAGATAGATTGGCTCGGGTTGTCCCAACTCTTATTTTCAATTTTCTTGTTCCCTAATTCTTGGTTTTGGACTTTGAATGTGGTTGAGTTCACTTCTTCCTCTGAATCTTGTTGTGATGAAATATCCCTTGATCAATCATCTCCTTGCGATTTTCAGGAATTGAAGATTAGGAGATAAATGTATGTTTTGGCAATTTGTTCCAACTTCTCAAAGATGGTATCATTTAAAAATCGTAGACACCAACACATTGCTCCAAATATTGAATTTTGTATTGGTTCTATATTCCTTGGGCTCCGGAATTTAACATTTTGGAGTATTGTTAGACTGGGTAAAGTCATTCTTGCCCTAATACAAAATTGTTAAGAGAATAACAGTTGATAGGTTGAGCAATTAAGCTAAAATTGAGTTGAAAAAGGAAAGGTGGAAAAACTCAGTGGCGGAGAGTACTAAACTACCTACAACTTGGACAAACAATCGTAAACTAAATGGGGTTCGTCTTAGTTAATGCAGAGGTTCGGTCCTATATGTTTGGTAAACAAAAATAACCAATAACCAATTAGTTTCCTTTACTGTTTCCACTAGTTTTAGCTTGTGAAGGGCAAGAACTCAAAGGGTTTCTGCGAAAGCAAGCAACAAACAAGACACTGGGGAAACTTATGGCGAGTGGTGGAACAAAAGCCTTTAGGTTTCATCCCAGCCCTAGGATGGTATACCTCTAACCATTGAGTTTGTTGATTAGTTTCATGACAAGTTTTACCTTTATAATTTCTTTGTTGGGTATGTAAATTATGTTAACCTTTTGCAGATTCCACATGCTATCAGACCAGAAGTTCAACATGTTAAGCTTTTGATTGAAACATTTGTTCACCGCGGGAAAAAACCAAATGATGTTCACCCTCTCCAAATTCCTGTATTGGGAAATAAACTCAGTGACACTGAAATCAAATTGCTTGCAAAATATTTCAACAACTCTGGAGAGATTTTGTGGAGGCCATCGTTAATTGCATTCCGTCATCTCCAGGCATTTCCATCTAGGGTGCATCGTGTACCACATTCATTTCGAACAGAGATGCTAATAGATGCAATGCAACATTTGGAAGGGTTATCATGTTCTAGTAATTTTGAAGCTTTAAGTGAGGTTTGTTCTCAACCCTGGGAAAATTTCATTATCTGTAGAATAATTTCAGTATTTGACTTCTTTGATTCCGCAGGTTGGAACTTCTAGAGCTCTGTACATGGGAGGCAAAGCTGCAGAACCATGTGAAAATGGCAAACATGAAGACCAGCCGGACCCATATGAAAATTGCAAAGGTAAAACCGGTATCAAACTTTGACAGCTTTTCATCTCTGTAGTTTTCACAGCACGATATTAAGATGACAATGTAAAACCAATTGTTTATGGGTGATCCTGAGACGGATGATGGTTTAAAGGCACATGCCCAGGCACGCAAGCACTGAAGCACATGCACATCACTGGGCATGAGGCGCGTAACAAAAAATGCATAATTGGTCTCTAAGCGTGAGAGTAGACATGAACCTCAAATGTGCCTCACGCTTCGAACAAGTAAACCCACATAGTGCCTTAGTGCGCATAACACTTTAAGGGATTGAAAAGATCCCCGAGATGAAGAACCTTCCCTTGCTTCTGGCTAGAAGAGGAAGAACTTCGGATCCTATGGTCCGTGAATAATTAGAAAAAATTGTTCAATTGTTTCAAAGATGATGATTTTTTCAGTTAATGCACGAGTATCAATGGGAAAAAGCGGTAAAAGAGACCCACCATAATCATGCTAGGTAACATGAATTCTTATTAGGAATACAACGACAAACCCAATAGAATCCTATGAAACAACAAACCCAATAGAATCCCTTGGTGTTGTCAATTTATAATTTTGCAAGTTTTTTGAAAAAACACTAAAAATAAAAAAATCAAAACTTTTAGAATAATAATAAGCTCAAAATTATACTCGAAAAAAGAAAAAACATAATAGCTCTGTGTTTACATGTAAAACAAGTACAGTTCTTAGATGTATCATGATCTGCATGTGCAAGTTTCATCTCTTTAAATCACAAATCTACAAAAACATTACAAAGTATAAAATTTCAAAGCATATAATCAAAGGTGTAATATTACTTTCACCATTATAGAGAAAAAAAGGAAAATGCACATGAAACAAAATTAAACATTTCAAACATCTCTAGATCTGCATGTGAACTTGCAGATCTAATGAAACACTCAATACACATGACTTCAAACATCTGTATATCTCCATGTGAAATTGCATATCTAAGGAAAACAATAAAAAATTGGGACTTAATTTTAGTCATGGCCAAGTATATGTTGTTGTCTCTCGAGTAATAAATCGTCGTGGGTTGAAGGTCTTAATTTGCAAAGATGACATAGCCACTTCAAATACAACAACAAATGTGGTTAACAAAGAAGTCTTCCAAATTCTTTAATCTCTTTAGCATTATAATCTATCATTATTATCTTCAAAGATTGCATGTAATCTGTTAAATATTTACTCCCTCCGTCCCCCATAGATCTTCCCAAAAGCCCTTTTTCTTTGTCCACAATAGATCTTCTCATTTCATTTTTTAACAATTAAAATACCACAACTACCCCCACTTACTTTATTTACTACACCTCACCCACCTCATTTAATACACTCCACCCATTTTTCATTAAGGGTATTATGGTAAACTTTCACCTTTTTTCAACTCTCCTTAAAAACCACCAAAAGTCAAAATTAGAACATCTTAGGGGGACGGAGGGAGTACATTTGAATGTGTACTTTTATCTGCTATGAGTCATTTTAAAAAATCTATATCAAATACCCTAGATGCATACAATTGACCAAATTACCCGCCGTGCAATGCACAGGTACGAGTACTAGTAACAACAACAACCAATTTTGTAAGAAAACAAATCGAGCACATGTTCAAGCTTGTTTGAGGCCCATGAAATTATATATACTCTAAAATGCCTCATCACGCCTATTGATCACCTAGGCAATCCTTTGATACCATGTCAACAAACCAAACCAACCAAGAGTTCAATCTTGTGGTTATAGGCCAGGGAATGATTTTATACTCTTAACATAATCAATTATTAAATCGTAGATTCATAACATCACCCCTCCCGTGAATTTGAGCTTGTCTACAAGCTCTAGGTATGGAGATTGGAGACACAATCTTCGCCAGCCATTTGGTATGTATTCCTCTGCCTTAGAATCGTCTAGGACCGCAATAGAAAATAACTGATTGAAATAGTCTTCAACCGTGTTGGTCTGCATTAAGAGCCACAGTTTGCCCACTGGTCCCTGGCGAGGGGTTGCCCAAAATGGTCAACATGAAGTTCTTTGAATAATTTTCTGTCCCTGGTGCCTTTTTATTCCATCATTTTATCCTACCAAAGCTGGGCATCGTCCAGCAACGGGCAAGAAACAATACCAACTTGGTCTTTGTCAAAGATTTTTTTGTGGTGAAAAACATTTCACAACACTTTAGCCAACAGATCGGATCAGAAGTTTCAGCAAGGGTTGGTAATTCCATCATGGCGTATTGAGGTTGTAGAGGTCATTTAGAGCCACTACAGAAACCCCATGTTCTGTGAATATTGTCATTGTGGTAATCTAGGTTCTCATAATCCTTCACCATATGTGTGTGAATGTGTGATTCTACCCCTTGGTGTATTCCTTGACACTGTGCCATTCTATGGCATGCAAACTAACTCCTTGGCATTGCTGGTGACCTTCGCCATCAGCAACGTGTAGATTGTCTCCAAACCTGCAATTCTGTCGATGATGCTGGTGAGTTTGGTGGTGGTGGCTGCCATGAATTCCCTCAATTGGGTAACCAATTGCTAGGGATGTGAAGGTCCTTGAGATGGATAAAGAACCCCTCCCTTGCCCGCAGCTAGAAGAGGCAAAATTCAGATCCTGTAGTCCATGACTAATTAGGAATATATGTTTAATTGTTTCAATGATGATAGTTTTATCAATGGTTGCACATATAAATTGGTAAAGCTTTACAAGGGACCTACCACAACCCACATTTGTATTACCTACCGCTCTACTATTTGAGCTAATAGGCAACACTTTATTTTTTCAAAGAGACTCACATCTTACTTACACTATAACATATAAAACATACAATTGATGCAATTGGAACATGGCACACACCAATCAAAGACATTACAACTAGCACATAGCCATTGTTATTTGCAAGAACACATTCGATAATTAATTTAAATACCCTTCTAATTTTTCTTTTACTCAACACTCTTATTTGATAATGCATTATCTTGATTTCAGAATGCAACAGACAGTAAGCATCAATTTGTTGATTAAACTCTAATCAAATGTAAATACATTTGAAGAATGATTTGCCTATGCAAGTTTTAACACAAATTCGTAGTACATATCACTCTACGATTTGAGCTAATAGAAACTGGAAACAGAAAGAACTAAAAAATCAAGATAAAAAAATATAAAGACCATTGTGATGCAAGCATGACATAGACCTCATATATGCATAGATTTTAATAAATCTGTGCATTAAAAAGGCGACCTGATATGGTGCACACAATATGAAAGATTAGGTTTTTGACTGAACGCAACAAGAGGACAAAGATATGCAAGACAGAGACTTCAAAATGCAAGAATGCAAGATCGTGACGGCATACACATCACAAGATTTTTAATAGGCGACTTGATATGGTAGCTACATATCCAATATGAAAGATTAAATTTTTGACTGAATGCAACAAGACAACAAGCGGACAAACATATGCACGATAGAGACTTCAAAATGCAAGATACAGGATTTTTAAGAAATACTGTTTTGATAATGTTGTCCTCACATCTGAACTTTCTATAAGCAACCAACGACACCTACACGAAGAAATATGAAGAAAAATGAACATTACTTTATAAACAATGAATGTCCCAAAAGCAGAGTGTATCTAAAAAAGAATATATTACATCTTTAACAAAGAATTAAGAAAACATTCCATTGAATGATCGGAAATCATGACCCAAGTTTCAAATCTGAGAACTCATAACAGATCCCTCATTCTTGTTCAATTTCAAAATGAAAAGGAAAAAGAAAATAGAAAAGAAAGAACCTGAACCACAAAAATCAATGGAAAATTGTGCACCATCAGTTTAGATCCAAAAGCCACCAAGGAGTGCAATCGCTGGAAAAAGGAAATAGAGAACCTTCCGCCATTGAGAGATTTTGTGCTGATCTCCCGGAACGATTCAATCAAGATATGAGAGAGAGAGACCATGGTGTTGTAAAATTCCTAGTATAGCCTTGTACTTAAGTGGATAGAATCTTAAAATCCAATCAAATCTAACGGTTGTAGTTTATTCTTATTTCTTTCATATATATATATATATATATATGTATGTATGTATGTATGTATATATATATATATATATGTATATGTATATATATATGTATATACACACACACACATACATACATACATACATACATATATCATAACTTGTTTTTAGAAGAATGTATACTTTTTTTTGTAATTTATGTTTAATAACTGGTATATGACATACTAAGTTGGGGGTCTCTTATGGAAACAACCTCTACTTTCAAGTAGGGGTAAGACCTGCGAACAACCCCTGACCCTATTTCTTGGGATTTGGGATTATGTTGGGTTGTTGTTGTTGTTGATCGTATATAACATATGTGTATGTGATGAATGCATCAAATCATGTGTCATGTATTCCCTTCTTGTGAGATGTGCACATCACAAAAGAAAACACAAGAGAGCATTAACTGTTTCAACTTTCAAGTCGTTGAAGGATTTAATCTTCTACGTAGTACATAGTATTTTGTTGCAAATTGTGTGTACATCTAGTGGTATATACATAGATGATTGCTCATTTTCTTTTTCTAAATATTTTCTTTTGTATTTTCGTGTTATATTATTTTATTCTAATCATATTCATTCTTAAAAATGTTCATTTGAATATCACACATGCTTGTTCTTCTTTTATGAAAGTTTGTTTACATACTTACATAGTTGGATGTAGGATTATCATGATACATCCAAATGCATTATATATCTGCTACTATTTTGTGGTTTCAGATCTGGATATACTTGGTTGTTCACCTGAAGAAGAGTGTGAGATAGTAGAAGATGATAAATATTCAGTTCCAGTTCCAGGGATGGATTCTGAGAATGAATTGACAGGGGAGAATTCTCATGCCCACCTCTGTCTATTTGACTCGGAGCTTGTAAAGGTTGATAATCTAGGAAATGTTTTAGTCTCTTTGCCACAACTTTCTACCAAAGCAGCAGCTTCTGAGTCTAAATGTGTGGGTCCTGAGCATCCTGAAGCAATAATAACAGATAAAACAGACAATTTATTGAGTGAAGAATTGAGCAATGACTCCAAAGATGTGGAGGCACATAGTCCACGGCTAACTTACTTTATTACAAGTGGTGTTGTTCCAGAGTCTCCCATAAATAGTCCAGGTTAGTTCTACTCGTGTTACTTTATAATATTGCCCAATGCTATCCCTCTTCTGAAACTAGTCTCTGATTTGTTTAGCAGAGAGAGAGAAGAATGTTCAAAAACTGAATTTGGAAGGCTTAGTGGCATCCTTGCTACAGGATAAGAAGGTCAACCATTGTGGTACTAGTGGGGATGATGGTTTTCCTTCACACGTTACAAGTTCAACTCCTTTACAAAAAGGAGAGGGATCAAGAACTTCCATGTCTTCCCATTCAAATAGTAATTGTATTAAATGAACTCCTTATGCAAAAATGTCAAGCCCAATCTGCAGCAAAGACTGGCTTCTAGAATCTCAACACATGTCAGAAAGAGCTGGTGTAAGGAACAAGTTTAGAAGGTTGCGCAAGCTAGGTGATGGTTGTAAAGAAATATATCAAGAATACACAGAAAAAAATAACGTTTCTCCCCAAAAAGTGGCAGGCTCTTGTTTTAAGTCCAACAGGGCTGTGAGTCGTGTGACCAGGAGGAAGCACAGAGGTTAGAGTAATTTCAGCTGCCTTTCAACTCCAATGATGTTTATCTGATTTCTTCACAGATTACCCCCCGTTTTACATTTCCATTGCTTGTTGTCTTAGGCTTCTTATATCTATCTAGATTGGAAGGAATGAATAAATTATATTAGTTCTGTTAATATTGTTGAAACACGGGCTTGTCACGTTTTCGTACTAAAGCCGTGTTCTTTTTTGTAACAGGTTTTGATAATGCCAAACCGCCGTGATCAAGTCAAACAATGAATATACAAGGCGAAGAATGGAAAGTTAAACGAGAGCCAAAAGAGACCAAGAACGAAGACCGAAGTCCCTAGCTTTGTTGAGTCGGTCATAATTGTAATCAAGACCGACCCAACCCTCACGCATTGGCTCTTTAGGCTAAAACCCTTCTTTACATTTCCTAAATCATAAAAATGTTTTTCAAACATGTTTAAGTCATTAAAAACACTTGGTGTTCGCCCAAACCAAAAACCAAGCCATCCGGCGTTCGGGTTTCAGAAACCGGCGTTCGGCTCCCGGTTATCGGCTAGGGTTTTTGGCGTCCGAACCAACCAAGTGGTTTTCAACTTTTTATGATTGGTTTTCACTCTTTGGCATGTTTAAACGGTTCTCCAACAAAAACACCTTGAAAACCATCTTTCGCTTTTGGTCGTTTGACAAAAATCATTCAAAACGGCATAAACTCGGCTAGCCGTGGTTTTCACTCAAATGACGTGGTTTTTAAAGTGTCTTACTTGATTTCTTAGCCAAATACATCAAATAAGTATTCTAAACACTTGGTTTTTATTTTGGAGAACTTTGAATTTTT